AGACTGAAAATAATAAATTTCTATTATAGCCTTTATTTGTGGTCCCTAAATATCAACATATGTAAAAATTACAAAAATCGGAGTCAAAAAAAGTTCTGGGCATATATGGGTTAAAGCTGTTAAAACTCATTTACCTACACGATATGTAAGTCTGTACGCCTCTGCTTGTTATGTTACTTGGTGGACTAGGAGACACATTCGGGCTTGCTTCAATTCTTAGTATAAATGATCGAGAAAGCTTCTGACATCTTCTGGTCGTCCCTACGGGATACAATCGACATTATTAACACGATTTTATTAGGTGGACTTGTAACGAACTATTGACGCACTTCTTATTGTTGTATCATCATGAAATATGGCAATTATAATGTAGAGGTAGATTAGATGACCATACTAGATTATAATATGGTGCTAACAATCTGGGTGCTTACTCTTGACCAATCTCAATGTCAATGCAAAATCTCAATAATAATTCAATGTCAAAACTATACAACCCCTATCGTACCTGTTAAAATAGCATTCAGAGTACGGAATATAAAGCCAAACTCAATACCATTTAGTTCATTCAATATCCACGCAATACAGATGCAATGGGCGCTAGTATTGCAACTCGAGTGTACGAAATTTCACAATACTAAGGTCGATGGATCGGAATTAGATTTAAGAGTAAGCCCCCTGATCTGATGATGGAATTAAAAGGGATGGAACTTTAGACTGCCTCCTAGTAAACATATCGAGTTTGGGCTCATTAGATAGATCCTTTCTCCTTATTAAGAAGATATATGTATGATTAAAGTATGTTTAACTTTTCAAACTAATTTGTAATATAATGTGAGTCTACTGCTAAACTTCAATCAAAAATTTTCATCTTAACTTATTTATAGGTGACACACTTATCGATGTAATTCAATTGTGTCGTCACTTCGACGGCGGAACGAAGTGTCAATTAATGTGACTTGGGAGGGCTACAATTAATTTAATACGAGTTGATGTTGGTATCTGGTGTATCGATCGAAGTATTGAGTGTCCTGATTTAGTAATTGATGTCGTTATCATTGTGTAATAGGAAGCATATTTGTCTTTTTATATGATGTCATTCATAATACTAGAGGTACGGTCGCTAACAGGTCAACCTATCTTTATATTTATAATTCTTCTGTGAGTGTGTATGTCACTGAACTTCTCTCAAACGACTGGACCGATTTCGATTAAATTTTTTGTGTGTGTTCAAGGGGATCTGGGAATGGTTTTTTAGATTCACATATCAGCCCGGCGGCACATATCAGATGGCGCTGCAGTCGATATCTAGGTTATTTATCTATACCTATTGTTATATTATGTGCAGGACAACGTATGTAGGGTCCGCTAGTACTTTTATATAAGATTACATTTTTAACTTTATTATGTTGATATAAAGTCGAAAAATCAATAAATAAAATTGTCAGATTGAGTGTAGGCTGATTTTCTGGCGACTAGTAATCGAAAAGGAACATTGATAAGTAATTTTTTTTATAAATAAGAAGACGATAAATTCTGGACAGGCTAACTTATTGTATTAACGAATAAACCCACAATGTTAAGATAAGAACCACAATGGAGGATAAGATATGACTGGGAGTGCAACATTATCATGACTAATCGAGAGATTAGTATCTCTTTTATAAGAAATTCTGACATAACATTGAATTTTGGCGAAAAATTACGCAAGCAAAGGAAGTAAATGATGTTTCGAAAATTAGCGAACAAATAGGAAATATGCGTTTTCAATTATTCGCTTCATTAACTGTCCAGAGACGGACTGTGAATTTTTGGGGCCTTCATTTGCGGGCCCACAGAGGAGGACAAATATTTTTTTATTACAAAGCTTTTCTTAGACGGGGTCCTAGTCAAAAAGGCCCATAAAACAATCCTCCTACCTACCACCTACGACGATATTTGCATTAGCTATAATAATCTCAATTTCCTTTAGACAAGTATTAAACTAACATAACATAACATCACGCCTTTTATCCCCGAAGGGGTAGGCAGAGGCGAACATTATGCCACTGTACAATGTAACACCCACTTTTCACTATTTATGTTATGAGTCCCATGTAATAGGGGGTGAGCCTATTGCCATATACCGGGCACAATTCCAGACTCCGTGCTACTACTGAAAATTTTAAAAAACCCCAGTACTACTTTGCTCGACCCGGGAATCGAACCCGAGACCTCTTGCCCGGCAGTCGCACTTGCGACCACTCGGCCAACGAGGCAGTCATTATTAAACTATAGAGTCAGTATTAAACTAAATTGTAGCCAAATTAACCATTCGGTTCATTTTATTGAAATTAATGATTTGATGTCCGACTGCGCGCGTTGCGTGTGTGCTGTGCACACTTGGTTAAACAAACATGTGCCATAGCGGTCTCAAAATTACTTCCGGATATTTGTAAAAAATACCGACGAAAACCGTTACTCAGCCTTCCGATTTGTTTAAATTCGAAATTGTTGTGAATAAAGTCAGTAAGTACGTAGGTATAGATAAATTGATTTGATAAGAGCGTTCTAACTTCTATTCTTAAAGCCTAGTTTAAGGTTATCTTGTACAAATACTGAAATGTGAATAATAGGGAAGTATAGGGCTTGATAACTGCAGATTGCAAACAGGATGTCTTTATATTGTAAGCATTGCACAATACAGTCATGATCTTAACATAACTAAAAATCGAATTAACATTTCGCGTTACATTGTCTTATTCAATAGGACCGCGAAATTAGATTTTTCCATTTTGCGTCAATATCCAACACACGTTCAAAAAAAGATCTATGAGTACGTAGGTAATATAATATTTCATTACGAAGAATAACTCATGAGGTACACTTAAGGACGAAACTTTCAGAATGATTCATGATGCATCCTGTATATTTTATTGGGTACAATAAAACTTATCAACGCGATATGTAAAGATATGGAATGTAAATATCGATATCAGACTACGATACGGAATGAGTCAAGGACATGTAAGTCGATTACAATACGATACACACAACAATATCGTATCGTAATATTGTGATTTTTGACATGACGGGTATGACATTTTTTTATGGCATAAACCGGTAAATGAGCAGACGGATCACCTGATGGTAAGTAATCGGCGTCGCCCATGGTGACCTGGAACACCAGACGCTTTACAAGTGCGTTACCGGCCTTTTGGGGATTAGGTTAGGAATTTAAGGATCGTTGGGGATTGAGGAATTGGGGAGATTGAGGAAGGTGAGGGGAGTAATTGGGCCTCCGATAACCTCACTCACACAACGAAACACAACGCAAGTTTTGCCTCACGTCGGTTTTCTGTGTGGTCGTGGTATTACTCCCGTCAAGCCGGCCCATTCGTGCCGAAGTATGGCTTTCCCACACTAAAAACATCCTGCACATGCTCAAAAAAAAGAAATTGCTGCACTTTTTGTGTTATATTATTAGTCCCTATTAACATGATAGACCTATATACGATATTTTAATTCGACGATCCTATTACCAACAGTCTGTTGAGGTTGAGGGTCTCAAAATCGAAACAGTTCGGCCCTGCAATCGAGACTTCATTCTCGGTAATCCCACAATCGTCTTAAAGAATATGTATTTCGTGGATCTTTATCATTTATCAAGTTTCTTCATACTAACAACAAACAGCTTGAAGTTTTAGTTTTTCCTTTTTGTAGAATTCGAATTCGGTCGATATTTTACAGAAACTGGCTAGAGGTAAATGAATCGTATGGGACTATGGGACATAATCTTTGACAGTTTTAATAATTTATGTTTTGTAGTCTATAACTGCTTAGGCTGTTTTATTGCTACGATTTTTGTTAAAAACAAATACCTATGCGAGAAAATATCAAGTTAAAAAACTACTCAGACATGGGATAATGTTGGTATCAAGTGATATTAAGTGATTATCTTTCTAACTTGGAAATTATTAACGATTTTCCTTAACATGACATGAATAAAATATTTGTGTAAAAAAATCAAATTTATAATAAAATGAGGAAAATTGATTTCTTTTTATTCATAAATTAGGTGCATCGGTGTCAAGGCTTATAATATTATTAAAACACGTCATATGTATATGACATCGCTGAATGGTCACGTACTATGCGATAACACCAATAAACAATAACGAAGCGTTATTCTTTAGTTTTTAAATAAAATAATAAGAAAACCATTATCCTTATTCGTGTGGTTGCGTAAGAACCTTGGCCTTTTGTTATTGTTCGAAAAAAAGGTAACTAATGCGATACTCTGGGCAATAGGTAAATACGTTTATATGCATACAAGTATGTATACGTCATTTATTTATACCAGTTTATAAAGACAGTTTTGACCGATTAGTACATCTACTCGTTACTTTTAAAATACCTACAAAAAGATTGAGGCGCCAATTTACATGTGATTTTAAAATTTAGCGCGCCAGATAGACGTCGCGGCGTTTTTCGTATGTAACATTTCGATTTTTTTTTAATTTTAGAATCTGTGCAGTGCAGTTAATACTCCCGAGAGTTGCGTTTAGCGCCCATATTTATGAAATTTGCGTACGTATTTTTTTTAAAAGGAATGCTATATCAATTTATCTATAACATAGTTGAAGATAGCTGAACAATTAAGGAGAACAACAATAATCAGACAATCCTTTTAGTGGGTTTTATGTCCCATTGTACCTACAAGTATCTATATTATCAAGATAAATATGATTTCTGACGAATGACAACCACATTATTATGAGAACAACAATGATTTGGAATGAATTTTGATGCGATTAACCAATTTTGATATTCAACAGCAAACCCCATTTGCTGTGAATTAATTTTAAATACACATACTGTTTTATATATTTTGATTCTTTTTATAAAAAAAATCAACATATTTTATCTATCTATTCATTAAATTTTAAACAGCATGTATATTTAAAAAATCAAGCCAAATGATAGATGGAACAGATAAAAAAAAAAGAAAAAACAAAAAGTACCGCCATCACTTCTGGTAACTGGCCGGAAACCTGTCCACGTTCCTACCGAACAAAGTTAGTTGTTACACTTAAAATATATACATTCACACTAATATTAGTTTAGTTAGATACCTAGAGATGCAATTCAATAATACATGTATGAGAAAATAAATATTTACAGGTTTATGCAAAAACAGAACGCATAGACGTTGTATTGCATCCCACATGTAATTTTCTTATTTGGAAATACTGTCTTGTTTCGTGCCGTTAAAAAAGTCGCGTAGACATATTAACTGATAAGATTTTGTGTTTTTGCGAAGCTAGCATTTATTGCTGTGGCATAAGGCAAAAGAGTATAAAAATAATCTATTATTACTTATTTGTAACAGACGCTTAGAGCTATCTTTAAATATTACAAAATTATTATACATTTTTATCAATCAAAAGTTGCTTCCCGTAAAGATATAAACAAATAAACGAACAATCGTTTGCCTTAGCCAACTAGATTTTTGTAGCGCCACACCGCAATACAGATATTTATTATTAACACATCTAAAACAGCTGGCACATTGCAGATAATATATTACACAATTACATTTCTATATAATTCCACAAAAACTGTTATATCTATGCAAGCTTCAATTACACATTCCATCTAAGAAAATCAACTAATGGCTCTATTCATAACATAATTCACACGTTGATAATGCATTTTATTCAATTATAATTAAATACACGTGTTTGACAGGTGTTGTAGTTCAAATCAAACACATGTATAGAAAGCTTTAACATAGGTGTGATAACAATAACTAATTAATTACTAGCACTAATTAACGTGTGAACTATTAGCTACGTGATTTATTTACATGCAGCGTGCAACACAGGTGTAACCAGAATAACAATTGCTTTTCACAGGGCCGTACTAGGGAAGGGACCCGGGTGCAACGTGTTGGGGGCCCGAAGGACTAAATATTGTGTCTAGATGTCATCACTTTGACTTAATATTATGTCATATCTGATACTGGCCATTGAAAATAAGTAGTAGAAACTGTAAAGCCTTTCAAATTTCAGAGTCCATCGTTGATAATGTGAATTGATAAAATAAACAATTTGTAACATAGTGATAAAACACGTGCAATGTTTAGTGTTTATATTAAAGTATGGTACCACTAAAGCATGGCACTGTTGAAAAAATTAACACATTTTGTATGAGAAAACATATTGGAATCTACCAATTTAAGGAATATTTTATCTGATCATTTTGGAGAATATATTTTTCCAATTATTTTTTTGACATAACATGCGTACTATGTAATGAAAAGTGATCAGTTTTAAGACACCATGTTTTACAAAATGTGACATCCAGTTACACCTACGTTTAACGAATCAAGATCCACCATATTGGCATTTAATTGAACAGTTCCCAAACGAAATTTACTACCAATATAGACTGAATCCAGAAAGAATTTCTTCGTAAATATTTACAGGTACAGACGACAGCAAATCAGAATTCAGACAACATTCAATTCAATTACAGATCAGATTAAAATTGATAAGTCTGATAAACTCTCATCTGTGCACTATATTGAAGAAATATTCAACACACTAACTAAGCTGCTCGAAATCAATCAAGTAAAAGTAAAGTAGGTAGACATGGCTGGATATCAAGCCATCCAAAACTATTTTGTCATGGTCTGGCTTTGTATAATTTTTCCGGACATCCAACGGTCCGTTTATATCAGTTTTGTATAGCTCGATTTATAAAATAGTGTTTGTATGGTCAAAAAATTACCTGTAGTATCTACTGGTCCTCGATGGGGTATGATAGAGTGTACATATCTCGCTACAAAGTGTCCAAATACTGCTTTTAAGTCCGGATTCTGCATCATGGCCACGAATTCGTTGAAGTCTAGGTACCCTGAGTTGTCTCTGTCAGCCAGATCCATGATCTTGTCCACCACATTGTCTGGCAGGTCATGTTGGTATTCCACCGAGTTGATGATATCTTTAAGCTCCACGTAGGAGATTCGTCCATCTTTATCTTTGTCGTACTGGAAAGAAAATATAATATTGTTAGTATTAAGAAATATTGCTTAGATAGAGTAGATGTTTATGTCCTGATGATAATTATGATTGATTAGTAGAGTACTTATCATCATTTTGGATATGAATGGGTTACCATACTAACATTTCTATAAATAGATAGAGTGGAGTAGACTCATTGAACTTAACAAGTTCCTATAGAAACATGAAGTAAATATAGACGAAGACGGTTCTGTTACCAACAATATAGCTGTAGAAGTTTGCAAATATTCTCCAAACAATAACAATGAAGAGAAATATGATGTAAAGCAAACAGACGAAACGTTTATTACCAACGATGTTGATTACGATCTGGGTGAAATTCCACAATAACTATAACACCAGAACAAATGAACTTAAGAAACTATTAAGAATATTGTTAATTGAGCCAGCGTTCTTTCAGGTTCGGATTTAAGGACAAGTCTAATATCTCTCTAAATTAGAATTGGTATAGACATAACATCACGCCTTTTATCCCCGCAGGGGTAGGTAGAGGTGCACATTATGCCACTGTACAATGTAACACCCACTTTTCACTATTTATGTTATGAATCCCATGTAATAGGGATGAGCCTATTAGCATAGACTATTCCCAAAACCCAAGTGCGACTGGTGACATTACTAAGAAATTTCAAACATTCATATTTTGTATAATTTGTAGAATGTAAAGGATTGAATAAAGGCTAGAATATTTTTTAATACTATAATAAACATGCATCGATGTCATAGTTAATAAGATTTCTATTAACATTGATTACTTTATGCCCGCATACCAAAGCTCTAATAAAAACATTGGTATTATTTTTCATTTCTCGACTGTTAAATATATTACTCAACTATTTTCGACTCATCATCGAGCTGAAGACCTAGATTTTTGGCCTTGTTCTCTTGAAGGTTAGACCAGAAGGTCATTGGTTAAAAGCATTTGTTTTCAGCACGCGTCGATCGAGATTTGTAGTCAGATGTTATTGAACCGAGGCCTCATTTAAGTACAGAAGCACATCAATCTACCCTAAGCTGACACAATACGTTTTCAACTTTCATTTATTGTGCTAAAGTTTAAATTCGATTGTAAAAATGTACAGTTTGTACTTGGAAAGTTAGTGGTAATTCGCTCTGCATGTTTCAATAGAAATGTTGACAGATGTGGCCTTTAGTTTTTGTATGAATTAGCAACAGCCTATTTTCTATACAAATCTTGTTGTCGACAGTGGTATATGATGATTCATATTTCTCATTACTTATTTTTGTTAGAAAATTATCTTTGAAAAGGCGATTTTAAAATCAGTTTTTGACCTTTAATTCATTAATATTATTTTACATTAACGTTTTTGTCAACTTCTATTTCATTTTCCTTGTTACTATAACTAGAATATTATGACCTTTTGATGTAACTATACATGATATAATATACCTAATAGTTGTTACCAATTATAATATTAAGTTCTTGTAAGGTATCAATTCCAAATTTTTTCATACAACCGTTTTTCAATGCCAATATTTATTTATAACGAAAACTTAGTTAGCCTTCATACAAAAACCTCACTGCTATGGCAGTGATTCATGTCATTTCTGAGAATTAGGCCTCCACTTGAGAATATAAAAAATCATACGTATGAATTATCAAATTTGAATACTCAGAATATGTATCAATCATAATTACATGAAGTTTTTAGTGCTGTATAAGCAGAATTTATAGGATACGTAACAGATAAGCACTGTTCTAATCTAAATTCCATTGGTAATATGAAGATTTTTATAGCTAAGAACAAGAACATTTTTTATGTCTTGTAAGTAGTAGATATTTAAATCACCGTTGGTACTGAATGAAATAATAATACCTGATGATGCACAAATATGTGAAGTCACGGATTTAGCTCCGTCTGCGGATAACATAGGTAGAAAATAGATCCCCGACAGCTTGTGAAATGGTTTCTATTTCAATAAACATTGTTTTTTGTTCTAACTGCAGAGATGTTAGTGCGCCTCATCTTAAAATAGTATGCAATAACATAAGAGCGACTGTGTTTCTTACTAACTTAGAAATAAAACGACAACAACAAGCAACATCTTCAAAATTGGAAGACAATAGCCATCACAAATTAAAAATAAAGGCCAAGACGAACGAGGACGCTCTTAACTATTAGTCATTCAAATCAATCTGTTAAATATAGGTCAAAATCATGTTCATGGTATACAGATGAATGCAAAGAAGAACACATGTGAGTCATTGAAAACCAGGAATGATGGTTAGATGTCATGATACGAATTGAAACAATTGGTGACAACAGAAATGAACGGTGACTAACACATCTAGACTAATATTACGTAGATTTTTATAATGGTACCCATGTAACGGGGACTTTTTGTAGAATGTAGTGAAGCTTATAATGGAGGACTGTAATAAAATACAATCGACACAATGGTAGATAATATTTATTTAACTACACTTCGAATGACATTTGTGTGTTTATTTTTATAGCTATGTTATAAATCCAATTGTAATAAAGTAAGAACTGCAAACGACAAAAAATAACTGATAGCTGCTGAAAAATAACTATATATTTGCCAGACTCGGAGTTTGCGACCATGACCCTGTACCTCGGCTTGACACATGCAATGATAAATAAAAAGTATAATTATGTGTGTGTGTACATAACATAGCATATGAATCATAAATTGCAGTATAAAACTCTTGCTTCACACAATTAAAGTTTATGAAATATTGCTATAAAACTGATGGACATTGTCAACCCTCGCGACAATATGAAATGTCGTTTTTATGGTGGTTTAACACTCAGAAATTATTGTTATGTTCTTGAACCGTTGCTTCTTATATCAAGATCATTAAACAGGAGCAATTAGACACCATAAAATTGAAGCAATCTTTTAAAAATAACATGTTACAGTAATTATTGTATATTGTGTTTTATGGACCTAAAATAGATCCTTGGGAAATCCCTTTCACTAGAGTGAAAAGTTATTAAAATTTTAGCTTTAAGGTTGATTGTGTTAACAAATTATGATTCGGTTTAAACATGTACGCACAGTGCACGACATGAGCCGTGTGTCAGCCGTGATTAATAGTATATTAGTATCTTAGGCTTTAGTAATGTCAATGAACTTATGTGGAAAACCAGAATGTCTCAAAATATGCTAATTTGTTGTCATTGAATGATGTAAAAAGGATTATTTTTGCGTGAAGTGTGTTAATATGTCGTGTATTAAGATCGGTATCTGTCCGCGCTAGCATTGTTAACGCGTTATGACAATATTTCCTGTCATTATATCACTAATTACTGTTACTGAATCTGTAGCACTCACAATTAAATGGGCTCGCACATTTATTATGCAATTCTTTTACGCTTTCCAAATATTTCAGTCTTTATTCTAAATGTAATGTTATTTTGGTTTGATACTCATTCAAATAATAAAGTCAGTAATGATTACAAATTTTATGGTTGTTTATCTCTTATAATTTCATCGCCTGGTGTTCAATAATTGTCATTAAATTATGTAATTTACCAGGAATTGCGGTGCAATTAGAAATGTAATGGATTTTAATGATTTTTTTACACTTTCAGTGCTAAAGTTATTGGGTTTGACCGGAATGGTTGTTTGGCTAGTTCACTGAGTATATTCACCGTTGAACAAGTTTGCTGTAAGTCATCGTGTTTGATTTGTGACATCACGCATTCCACAGTAATTAGGTGCTGTGTGCTCCACTAGGCAAGTAGATTAGTGTTAAACAAAGTTTTGGATAAATATAGCTATACATTACTACTGTTGAAACGTGTAAGTCGTTGAGTGACTGTATCAATAATAAATGTTATCGAAAGCGTATACAATGGAATATCTTTAATTATAATTTATTGAACGCGTAAAATCCAGTTGATAAAGCTATTGACTTTTCCAATCACAATACAAAACGACGATGAAATTAAAATGACTTGATTTTGAACTCTGGTATCAGGTAAAACATAAAAGTTGAACAAGAAACCGTAAAGCAAACAGTTAAGGTTGTTTATTGTGCAACGTCACATGAATGAGTCAGTGCGGTGAAAAGGTTTATCCGTATCGTGGTGACACCAATTGCTTTTGCGTTTAACTCCAATACGTAAGTCATAAACGTGTCGTGGCATACTACCGATTCAAATATAATCCTTTGTCAGATGGACACATTAAAGTTTAATGACCTTTATGTAATCAAAATAGGTGAAAAACCAGATATGAGCAATTCGAGTAGTGAGAGTAACGTCTCATAAACCTGCTTTTAAGAGGAAAAGCGAAGGGTAACTGATACGATGACGGCTAAAATAAATAACTAGTCTTATTCGAAAAACTGAATGGATCACAGTTTCTGGCAGTAGTTCTTAATTGAATTTTTTTTTGATAAATTAGTAGTTAGCTCAACTGATTCAAGAAATCTAGTTGCGATTCTCCTAAATCTTATAAAATACATAGTATTAACTACAATAAGACATATGATATAAGGAAACATCTTATGATTGTTGATGTCTGAAAAACTTTACATAATGCAAACATGGCAGTATAAATCAACTTTTAATTACCTATTTAAAGCTAGTTAAACCAGATAATGCATCTTTGTGTAATCCTTATGTAAATAAATTAACAAACATTTCATAATCCTCTATCCTTGATATATTGTAGTTTTACTCTCATAAACATTGGGTATTTGTTTAGAAAATAGCGCCTTGGACGCAAATGTAATATTTTGGTAAACAGCAGATTTTACTCTAAATTCCTAGCTTGGAATTCCAGGGTTGAGTTCTAAAGCTTATGTTATTTTGTAAATAGTCACGTCTTATTTAGGTGCTTGGTGGTTTTAGCCGTTTCCAGCATGGCCCTATTCTAAGTCACTTGGGTCATTGCATATGGTCTGCATTATCTCCTATTAGACATCTTTCCATTGCAACCTTCTACTTCGTTCATTTTTAGGCAGTCCACC